TATATATATACCTCTCTCATTATGTTTTCTTCCTCTTTTCTTATCCAAGCAATAAGGGCAGCACTTCTTAGAAGGTGCAGTCCCTGTGCACTTCCATCCATCTTTCGGACTGCTGTATGGAATGTAATTTTGCTGTACTTAACTGTGCAATAATAATAAAGCTGATTCTGAAAATACTCAAAGCACTTTACACTACAATCTGTGCCCTCATTTACCCATTCATACAGCAATATACTATATCTATAAGATTAAGCAGAGCTTTATCATATTCATACACTGATGGGACACACATCGGAGGCAATGAGGGGTTCAGTGTTTTGCCCAGGGTCACTTGGGCATGTGACAGCTGGTGGAATCGAACCCCCATCTCTTGCATTGGAGAACAACTACTCTAACCACTCAGCCACAGCCACCCCTTTAGACATGAGATATTTTGCTAACATAGAGAGGCACATCAAAATGGACAAAAACATTATCTCTTATCTTTTGATGGTGAGTGACAAATAAAAATGGATCTTAAATAAAGCCAACTTAAATGAATTGTGATGTAATCAAGGTGATTATTTACCCAAACAATTACAGAAAATGACAACTTCTCTTTAAAAAGACCACAAAAAAGAACATTTGCAATCAAATGTTTAAAATATTAAACAATAAACAGAAACACTAAATTCCACACAAAACCATTGTAGTTCTAGTTTCATCTAGTTATATGTGAGGTTTTAAAATACTTTGTGTACACTAAACTTACTGAGTCATATTACCCTCACTGGTCTTAGTAAAGGATACTGAAAATAATCATTCAGACCAATACAAAACATTACGTTTTATCTAAAAAAAGTTAAATCTGGTCCTCTGCACATTCAAAAAAATAAAACAAACAAAAAAATGTAGAAATGTTTCGTCTTTCATCCGACTGTGAGAAGGTGCTATTTATAAGACTGAGCTGAATACAGCACCTCAGACTGAGGAAGTCTTTCGGATGAAAGGCGAAACGTTTCTACATTTTTTTTGTTTGTTTTTCTTTGTTTTGTTTTTTTTTTAATGTCCAGAGGACCAGATTTTACTTTTTTTGATTTTTCTACCTGGATTATTGAGCATGCATCAGGATATTACGTTTTATCCTTTTGTCAAAAGTATTTTAAACATTTGCCACTTCACCTTTACAGATAATCTTTATAAAACACTAAACTCAAAACTATTACTGGTGACATGATTGTATGTCACCTGTTTAGTTCACAGTTTTTAATGACAAGATGTGTTTGTGAATGTGGACCCCCTCAGTAACATGTTAACCAGGTTTATGACAGGAAACTCAAAAACTTTAAATTACATTCTAGGACCAAAACTGTTTTTCTTGATTTGCATCTAAGCTCCTTTCAGGAATAATTTTATCTAATAAGTTGATAACAAATACAGATTAGTGATGTCTGAATGGTTATATTTGTGCTTTTTATTTTAACCTCGGACTATGATTTAACCAGGTCCGACTTGGTGACACATTTTTATCATTAACGGTTTTGGTTTGAACTGAACTCTGCGTTACATGGGTCAAATATGCACTCATAGGCAAGTGATAGGTTTTAACTTCTCTGGGAATTATATATATATATAAAACTATATTTCTTGATATACATCTAAGTATATATATATATATATATATATATATATA